TGGGAGGCACCCATAGGGGTTTCTGCGAATAAAAGGAAGTCACAAGTGAAACGCTTTCGACGCTGCTCTGAATGCTAAAATAATTATTTAGGACGCATTAAAAAAAAATACATACACGAGAGCGGCCAAATTCTCGGGCTTTCGTTTGAGAAGCGCACACGCACACGCACACACGTGCACACACATGCACACACATGCACAGACACACACATACACACACACACACACATAAGCTCAAGAGGACATTTATTAAAACAAATCAACCGACTTTGAATACAACACACAACACACAACACAACACACACACACACACACACAGCGCCGACCACTGAGTACACGGCATAAAGTTATTGTTATTGAGCTAATCAAAAGATGGAATTAACTCCTTCGTTACAGGTTCAGCTCAGCCCATGGGATTCACACACTGAACACACTTTAGCACTCCCCCCCCCCCCCCCCCCCCCCAACCCCCCTCTTTCTCTCTCCCTCCCTCCCTCCCTCCCTCTCTCTCTCTCTCCTCCCCATCACTCCTCTCTCCCCACTCACACACAATTTTTACCCGATCCCGAGGAAATGAAGGCGATAGGGGATGGGTGGGAGGGATTGTGTGTGTGTGTGTGTGTGTTGGGAGGGGGGGGGGGAGTTGGGGGGTGGAAACTGTACGCGATCGGAGCTTTTGCGATGGACATACGAGCAACACAAAAGTTACTTTTTTTTGAATTAATTCGCACACATCTGTAGTTGGGTTTCAATCGCAAAAGAGTGAACGATCGAGAGCTGTGTTACATGAGACGTATATATATATATATATATATATGTGTGTGTGTGTGTTATATATATGTTATATATATATATGTTATATATTATATATATTATATATATTTATATTTGGGTCGATACGTGGATCAGCTCTGCTCAGTTCAGTAACTACTGGACAAAGATGGCAGAGAGAGATATAATAATAATGATGATGATGATGACCAGGTTAAAGCAGCCAAAGCTTTCCGCAGATGCAGATTAGATCAGAAATCATTTTGCATTTAGGAGTGTGGGGGAGGTCGGCCAGTCTGCTTTGGAAAATAACTTGTTTCTCTCTGGCTGTTCTCTTTGCTCTCTCTCTCTCTCTATTGCACACCATAAAATGTATATACACCTCCTTCCCTCCTTCCCTCCCTCCCTCCCTCCCTCCCCAGGAGCAAACCGCGTGTCACAGACAAAGCGACCCAAGAAAGTCATGGATTTTTTTTTGCACACACACACACACACACACACACATCCACTGAGATTAAATATACTTTCACATCTTTTAATAGGAGTCTCGTCCACTCTGGGTTAAGAGTTAGAAACCCATTATTTTAAACACACACACATGCACACACATGCACACACATGCACACACATGCACACACATGCACACACATGCACACACATGCATACATGCACGCACACACATACATACACACACACGTTTATATTGATGACTTGGAGTAACCTAACTTCCTCCTGTGTTAAAAAAAAGGAAGGGGGGGGGGGGGGGGGACAGTATGAGCTTCAACCGCCGATCTTATCTGATCGTGGAGTGTCAAGAGTAAAAAAAAAGTTAACCCTTTCAACCACTTGCTACAGCTGTGGGTGAGTGGTTGGTTGGGTGAGAGGGGGTGGGGGGGGGGGAGTGTGTGGGTGGGGGGGGGGAGAAAAAAATGGCGCAGTTTTTTTGTTAACATATCCTCACCATTGATCACAAATGAGTTCAATTTCACTTGTGTGGCCTGATCTGTTTGTAGCTGCTCACACTCACTCTCTCAGCTCCTGCAGCTAAAAAGGCATTAATATTACACAACATATGCATATACACACACCCATACATACAGATACATACATACACACACTATACATGCATATATACATACACTATATATACATACATGTACGCATACATACATACACTATATATACATACATGTATACATATGTACATATACTATATACATATACATACATACACACACTATATACACACACTATATACACATACATACATACATACATACATACATACACGCATGCATGCATGCATACACACACACACACACACATACATACATACATACATACATACATACATACATGCACACTATATATACATACACTATATATATACATGCACACTATATATATACATACACTATATATATATATACATGCACACTATATATATACATGCACACTTTATGTACATACATACACACACACTATATACACATACATACACACACAAAAAGGACCATCCACACACACACACAAGGTTACGGAGGGCACAAGACTCGTAGTTCATGGAAACAATGACTTATAAACGACTCTGAAATCTTCCATATTTTACAATCCTCGCTGCACCAGTAACAGATGTATAGCCCCCAGAACAAGTTTTAAAAAAACAAAACAAAATTCTTTGAAACTATCTACTATCCCGATGGTTAGTCATCTCGCTGTTTGTTTCCCCCCTGGTTAACTGTGCAGCATTTCACGATGATAAATTCTTCCTCATTTATTCTTCCTCATCTAATTGCAAAGCATTATGTTACACACAATTTGTTTGAAGTTTGGCGGCTGCTGTTGCTTTTAAATCGGTGTGGAAAGGGCAGATTGTTTTTGGAGAGAGGGAAAGAGAGAAAGAGAGAGAGAGAGAGAGAAAGTCTTTTATTTTCCACCGATCCAACAGACTTCCAGCCACCTCTAGCGAATGAAAGCAGTGAGGACAACAACAACAACAACAACAACAACATTCAAGTGTTTTTTTCTCTAATAATAAAAAAAAGTTTTTTCAGAACCTCTTTTTTAAAAAAAATTACAAGTGCTTTGAAACGTTATTACTTTTTTTTCTCCCCAATAAATGTATATATATATACACACACACACACACACACACACACATGCAACGGTCGATCGATGCAGTTGCGAAAACCTTCAAAGATATTGGCTTCTCGGTACTTTGTTCTCACCTTATATACAGATGAATTTTTTTTAAAAAAATGCTACACTCTGTCCTGGAGTGACGAGAACTGTCGCTATTTTAAAACGTGATTTGCATCCGACTGATATATCTGCAACTCCACAATACCACAGGAAAATAGAGCCTCTGAAGTCCAAAAGGCTTAATTTGCTCTCCATTTAACCATGTAGCAAGGAAAGCAAACAGAGCGATGAGTGAGGTAGGGGCAAAGCATCTATATATATATATATTATATATATATATATACTGCAATATAGGATTTGATACCCTTTTACTTTGTATCAGTGTAGTTTTCCTTGAAGCGTTTTCATGTGGATGTCAAATGTACAGTACAGGGAGAAGTGACCGATTTGGTTAACAGGTAACGTCAAGGAAATGCATAGGTATCCCAAGGACGCTTTTATTTTAATAATATATATTTTAAAATGAATATATGTTATATATATATGGAGAGCGACAGTGAGAGAGAGAGAGAGAGAGAGAGGAGGCGAGAAAGGACTGATAACCCAGACAAACAGTTTCTGCTCTTGAAAGTGAAGGGAGTCTTATTTAGGATTATTTTTTAAAATACAATTATACATACATGTAAATAGATATTTACATACCCACACATGTTTTTTTTGTGCACAGGCAAACACAATAGAAATGGCAGTGACGTGTATTAACTGACCCCCCTCCACCCCCACACACACACCCTCTGCTTATTTATGTTTTAAATCAATGCCTTGAAATTGCAATAGTTCAAAATCACTCTCCACACCTCCCTTTTCGCAAATAATTAGGTTTATGAATGGTCGGGAAGCCGTTGCTTTTAATTATTGGCAACACCTCGCGAAAAAAAAATATGCAATATGCAAAAACACCCCCCACCCCCCTCCCCAACACACACACACACACACACACCATCCACGTTATCTTATACAGCCACGACTTTATTACTGTGCCCTACATTGGTTGCAAGAGAAATGCAAACCAGATTTACAGTTTCCCCTTCTTTCTTTCTTTCTCTCTCTCTCTGTCTCTTTCTCTCTCTCTCTCTCTCTCTGAGTGTGTGTGTGTGTGTGGAAGTGGGCCAGTTAGCTGTGTACCCATGAGCTCCCTAAAAAAAAACTGCCCTGAGCTGCCAGTGAGAGAGAGAGAGAGAGAAGAGGAGAGAAGAGAGAGAGGAGAGAGAGTAGTGAAAGAGAGAGAAAGGAGAGAGAAGGGAATTGAATCGAATAACTGCGAGAGAGTGAACGCGAATGAGAGAGCGAGAGAGAGAGAGAGAGAGAGAAAGAGAGAGAGAAAAAAAAGGATGATAGATTGATGGATGTGTGAGTGAGTGAGCGAGTGAGTGAGTGTGTAAAAAAAAAGGAGAGGTTGCAATCGCGATTGGATGCAATCGCTGTGGAGCAGTTGTGCAGTGAGTGAGTGTGAGAGTGAGTGAGTGAGAGTGAATGAGAGAGTGTGTGAGTGAGTGTGAATGAGTGTGTGAGTGAGTGTGAATGAGAGTGAATGAGAGTGAGTGTGTGTGTGAGTGAGAGAGTGAGAGTGTGTGTGAGTGAATGTGAGTGAGTGTGAACGAGAGTGAATGAGAGTGTGTGAGTGAGAGAGTGAGTGTGTGAGAGAGAGAAAGAGTGAGTGAGTGAGAGAGAGTGTGTGAGAAAGAGAGTGAGTGTGCGAGAGCGAGTGAGAGAGTGAGAGTGAGTGTGAGAGAGTGAGAGTGAGTGAGAGAGAGAGAGAGTGCGAGTGAGTGAGTGAGTGAGTGAGAGAGAGTGTGTGTGTGTGAGTGAGACAGTGAGAGAGTCTCAGTCACTCCCTCCCTCTGTGATCAGTGTCGGCTTTGTCCAGCCCCGGTGTCCCCGGGTATGTGCCATTGGCTCCCTCCCCCCCTCCCCCCTCCCCGGCCCGGCCCGCCCCCCCCTCCCCTCCCGGCCCGGCCCGGCCCCCCGCCACCTCCTGACGTTCAAGTTCGCGGGGCGGCGTCACGCAACGCACTTGAACTTGGTGGTGGCTTTAAAGCCATGACGGCTATCCCACAATCCATCTCCCTCCGCCATCTTTGTATTATTTCTAATTTATTTTATGTCAAAGCCCCGCCGATGAAGATATTTCCTCTGGAGTCTCCTTCCTCCCCGCTCCCGATGTGACCGAAGACCCAGGATGTCTCGCCGCAAGCAAGGCAACCCGCAGCACCTGAGCAAACGGGGGTTCTCACGTGAGGAGATGATGGGGGGGTTGTTTTTTTTTTGGGGGGGGGTGTGGGGGGTTGTTGTTGGGGGGGGGGGTTGGTGTGTGGGGGTTGTTAGGGGGGGTGGGGTTGGTGTGTGTGGGGTGGTTGTTGTTAGGGGGGTTCGTGGGTGTCTGGTTGTTAGGGGGGGTTCGTGTGCGGTTGTTAGGGGGGGTTCGTGTCCGGTTGTTAGGGGGGGGGGGTTCGTGTGCGGTTGTTAGGGGGGGTTCGTGTCCGGTTGTTAGGGGGGTTCGTGTGCGGTTGTTAGGGGGGGAGGAGGATGAGGGGAGAGGGGGAGGCTTTGAGGGAGTGTGTGTGGGGGGTGTGTGGGAGAGAGAGGGGTTTTGGGGGCTCTTTTTTATTTAAAACCCCCCCCTCACCCCCTCCTCACGTATTGCTACTTTTTTTTTAAACTTATTTTTCTCCCCACCACCACCCGCCCACCACCCCCCGCGCCTTTTTTTTTGGGGGGGGGGGAGGGGGTGTTTTTTTTTCTCCCCCCCCCCTTTCGCGCGCGCGCCTGCGTTTTGTCACCCGAAAAGTGTTTCGAGAGGCAAAGAGAGAGCGAGAGAGAGAGAGACTTTGATGGGGGGGAAGAGTGGGGAGTGAGTGTGGGGAGTGTGAGTGAGTGTGTGTGGGGGGAGAGAGAGAGAAATGGGAGAGAGTGTGAGTGAGTGAGTGTGTGTGAGAGAGAGAGAGTGAGTGAGAGTGAGTGTGAGAGAGAAAGAGAGTGGGAGCGAGTGAGCGAGTGAGTGTGAGACACACACACACACACACGAGAGAGAGAGAGAGAGAGCGCACAGGGGTTACAGCGCTGGACATTTGACAGCGCTGGTCAAGTGTTGGGGAGTTAGTATGGCGTGTGCCGGGCGCCTTGTGCCGTACATTGCACCCCTCTCCCCCTCTGCCCCTCTCCCTCTCTCCCCCTCTCCCTCCCCACCACCACCACCGACAAAAAAAACCCCACCACTAGCGATCGGATCGCGGATTCAAGGCTTTTTTTCCCCCCCTTTTTCCGTGTAACTAACTAACACTTACACACACACACACACACACACACAGAGAGAGAGCGAAAAGAGCGAGAGTCACACTCACTCACTCACTCACACACACAGACACACACACAGAGAGAGAGAAAGAGAGAGAAAGAGAAAGAAAAACCTCTCCAAAAGTACCGGTCTCTAACACCCGGCTTTGCAGTCCAGGACAGTTTGGTATTTTTAATATGCATTTTCCTCTTCTTCGGCCACATGCAAACTGAATTTATAGCATTTATTTGCAACCCCCTCCCTCCACACTCACACTCACACTCACTCACACTCACTCACTCACACTCACCCACACCTCGCCACACAGGGCATGTGATAGACGTGTTTGTCGGTGGAATATTTTTATTCGCTTTGCTCTGTCTTTTTTTGTCCCCTTTTTTTTTAACCCCCCCCCCCCCTTTCTCTCTCTCTCTCTCTCTCTCTTCCCCCCATTCATTTTTTTTCTCTCTCTCGTTCTCCCTCTCTTTATTCCTTCTCCCTCCCTCCCCTTTTTTTCCCCCCCCTTTACCCCTCTCCTTCCCTCCCTTATCCCTTCTCATTGAAATCGCCGCACTTTTGTGTGTGTGTGTGTGTGTGTGTGTGGAGGGAGAGGGAGAGAGAGGGAGAGAGAAATAATTCTTTCCCTCCCTCCATCCCCTCTTTCCAACTTATTTTATCGCTGAGTTGTAGATTTGCCCCTTTCTTTCTCTTTCTCTCTCTCTCTCTCTCTCTCGCGCTCTGTGTGTCTCTGTGTCTGTGTGTGTGTGTGTGTGTGTGTGTGTATTTTTTTTTGGAAGATTTTCAAAAAAAACTGAAACTTGATTGTGATTGGGAAAAATCTCGTGTGCTTCATGTTTACAACGAGAGCTGAGCTCCGCGTGTGCGGTGTGGAGTGGAGTGGAGTGAGAGAGAGAGAGAGAGAGAGTGAGTGAGTGAGTGAGTGAGTGAGTGAGAGAGAGAGAGAGAGTGAGAGAGTGTCTCCTGCAAACTCGCGATTGCATTATTTCTTTTAGCTCACGTTAGTTTCATATGTATATTTTTTTTTTGGGGGGGTGGGTGCAAATTCTTATCTGCTCTTGTTATTTCTACACACACTCACTCACTCACTCACTCTCTCACTCTCTCACTCTCTCTCACTCCCACTCTCTATCTCTCTCCCCCCCCCCCCCCCCCCCCACTCCACTCACCCACTCTCACCTCCATCCACGAAAAATAATATTCGAGACTCTTGAAACTTAACCAAATCTCTCTCTCTCTCTCTCTCTCAATCTGTCTCTTGGTATTTATTTAAACCGATTCTCTCTTTCTTTTCTTTCTTTCCCTCTCTCTCTCTTTCTTTCTCTCTCTCTCTCTCTCTCTCCCCCACATACACACACACACACACTCTCCACTCTCCTCCCGGATCGTGTGTTTGTACGGTAGTTGGGGGTCTGGGGGTTGTGTGTGTTTTTTTTAAGCGAAGTCGAGTTTCTCTTTTTTTTTCTTTTCTTTCTCTCTCGGTTGCAAAAACACGTGTGTGTGTGTGTGTGTGTGTGTATGTGGGGTGTGTGTGTGTATGTGTGTATGTGGGGTGTGTGTGTATGTGGTGTGTGTGTGTGGGGTGTGTGTGTGTGGGGTGTGTGTGTGTGTGTGTGGGGTGTGTGTGTGTATGTGTATGTGGGGTGTGTGTGTGTATATGGTGTGTGTGTGTATTTATTCATCATAACGCAAGTCAGTGCATTTGCGCTGCTAAAGGGAATGGAGAGAAAGAGAGAGAGAGAGAGAGAGAGAGAAGACGGGGTATCTTTCTCTTTCTCTCTCTCTCTCTCTCCATCCATCATCCATCCATCCCATCCCATCCCATCCCATCCATCCATCGCTCCCCCCCCCCACCGCGATCTTTTTGCCGTCTTTTTTGTTTTTTTTCCTAAGAAAAACAGAGAGACAGAGATACCTGTTCAGAAATTAAAATAAAAAAATATATAAAAGGAAATGAAAGAATAACTCCCCCTCCAGAAATGTTTTGCCTGGAGCGCAAAAAAGTGAAGGGTAAAGCTGGTGTATGGTCACCAACCAGGACCCCCCCCCCCACCACTACCCCCCCTCCCCATTCGGTGCTCTATCGAGCACAGAGCTCTCTCTTTAAGAAAGAAGTTAGTTTTTATATAAAAAATTTAGACACATATATCTATATTATTTTTTTTAAAAAAGCATAATGCAAAATGCAAAAAAAAAGCATATGGGGGGGAGGGGGAGGGAGGGGGGGTTTGGGGGGGTATTTTTTTCTGTGTGTTGGGTGTGCGTGAGCGATGGGAGGGAGAGAGGGAAATTACGCCTTTTGATTTGCAAAAAAAAAAGAGAGAGAGAGACATAGAGAGCCGCAGATCTTTCTTTCTCTCTCTCTCTCTCTCTCTGGTCGGTTTCTCAAGTGTTTCTCTCCCTCTCTCTCTCTCTCTCTCTCTTGTCCGCTTTCTCGATCGCTTTGCAAAAAAAAAATAAACGTTGTAATTCCCGAATTTGGAAGAAAATTCGACTGTGCTGATTGCAAAACTCAATTAAAACCCCCACCTCTCCCCCCCCCCCCCCCACCACCACCACCACCCTGCAACACCCCCCCCCCCCTCCAAAAAGTAGGCATTTTGCATTTCTCTTCAAAGCGAGATTTTTAAATGCAGATATATATAGAGAATGTAAATTGAATTTTCCAAAAAAATCTCTTTCATAATTTTAATGAGCGCGAAGGAAATCGGTGGAGAGAAAGTCGGTGGGGGCAGAAGAAACGAGGGCGATGCCGTTGTTTTATTTATGTACAAGACGCACGCACGCAAAAGATTTCGATTTCTTTTATGTCAGTCGACTGTTTTTTTTCTCTCTCTCTCTCTGTCTCTGTCTCTCTCGCTCTCTCTCTCTCTCTCTCTCTCTCTCTGCGTCTCTCTTAAAACAAAGCCCGCGCTTTAAACGTACTGTAACTCGCAACTATGCGCTGTACAAAGATATGTCAAGTTGCTCAATGTGGAGGCAGAGAGAGGGTGAGTGAGTGAGTGAGTGAGTGTGTGTGCGTTGGGGAGGGGGGTGGTGGTGGGGGGGGGGGTTGTGGGGGTGGGCGGGGGGGGGGGGTGTTGGGTGTAATGCTGCTATCGCAGCGCTAGGAGGCAGAACAACATCAAGAACAAACCCAAGTCTCCGCAGCTGGAACCTTTGCAAATTTCCAAACCACTTCGTTCCCAAACCAATTGCTCTTAATTTTTTTCTCTCTCCCTCCCTCCCTCCCTCTCCCTCCCCCACCAAAAAAAAAACCCTACACTTTTTTTTCAGGGAGGGTGGGAGTTAAGGGGTGGAGGGGAAGTGAGTGGGGGGGGGGGGGGTGACAAGTGAAGAGGAAAAGGAACCCAAACGTTTTTCGGAGCTGTTTTTTTTTCTCTCCCGCTCTCTCTTTCTATGCGAGGCTCTTTGAAGTCGAGGAATTTTGTTTTACCCCCAAAAAAGCAGCAGCTAAACTTAGCTTGTTACCTGTGCTCAGAGGGTTTGGATTGGATTGCAGCGAGGAAAGAGCTCGGAAGGAGATGGTTACTCCTCGCTCAACTTGTAACACCGAGTTGAACTGCTCAAATAGATGGGACACATTCATTTTCATTTATTTGTTTTTAAGAAAAAGTATCAGTCTCCAATTTCGATATCTCCTTTCTTTTTCCCCCGACCACCGTAGGCACTGAGTGAGATGTAGATCAAAAGAAAACCCTTCCAACTTCCCCTCCCAACCCCTACCCCCTCCCCCCCCGCCACCCCCCCCCCCCACCCCCCCCCCCCCCCCCCCCCCCCTCCCCACCACCCACCCCCGCGAAAAAAAACCGAGCACATTCTTGGGGGAATTAATTTTTTTTAAAAAATATATATTTTTACATTTTTTTAAACAACAAGGCAAAGCTTTCTCACTCAGCAGACAGACTCCGGTGTGTGTATGTATCTGTGCTTTGATCCACGTGTGCTGAGTGTGGCTGATTATTTTATTGTTGTGGGAAATATTTTTTTCTTTAAACGCGCACACAAACTCCAGGTTGAAACAATAGTTGGGGTAGGCGGTGGGTGACCGCAGCTTCTGCCAGCATTAGCCTTGCGTTTGTGATCTCCACTCTGCTCACTTGGCAGATTTCTCTCTCCCCATCTTCCCCCTCCTTCTCACATCTCTCTTCCCCACCAACTCCAACCCCCCCCTCACGTCCCGTCCCTCCACACACTGAATTAATTCACGTTTGCAATCTACACATTGCATCGTTTTGTAACTTCCCTCCGATTCAGTCGTTCCCAAAATCCACACTTCTCCATAGTTCAGCAAAGTAACATTTCTGTGCGTGTGTGTGTGAGAGAGAGAGAGAGTGTGTGAGAGAGAGAGTGTGTGTGTATACACAAGACAGGCTTCAACAATTTCCTTCCAAGTTTTGTCCAGAGGTAGTTAGGATTACTGTGCTATTTAGATGCTGTCCAGTACAGTAACAATTCTCACTCACCTCTGGCTATTGTTTAATAAGAGATCCTCCTATTCAGTCGAAAGTTAAACGTTTTTTTTAAAATCGGAATTACTGCATGGTGCACATCTAAATTATATGTTACGTGTTTTTTTTCATTTTAACAAAATATATAACCCTGCTGATATATCGAGAACTAAACGGAAATAGGATTAAAGCTGCCTGACCTTGTTTGCAGGAGCTGTGCTGTGTATAATTGGCCTTTCTCTGTTTCAATAATAAGTACAATTGAATGAACCGAAGCATCAATCCCTTGCAATGCCTGTTTGTTTAAAAAATATTTTTTCTCTCTCTCTCTCGTTGTTTTAAACTGCCGTTTCTACTTTTTCGTTATCAAGAAGGTTAACAGCACCTTAACGTCCTTCAATAATAATAATAATGTTAAATAAAACTCTTATCTTAAATTAGTGACACAGCAAACTAACACCTATAATGGGTAACAGGATCAGTCACATTGCATATTGAAATAGGCAAAGGATTAAAAGGCAGTGTTGTATATGGAATTATTACAATATTTTGCTGCAGAAAATATTGCTAACTTGTGGGGGGGCGGGGAAGGGGGGAAGAAAGATGCTTAATCGATGTGACAATAATATACAGTATATACATATATTTATATCTGTTGTGGGTATATTTTTTAAATGTATTTTTTCAATATGTGCCAATGCGTTTGGCACTTCCAAATTAAGTGCAGAAAATATGCAGGGCCAATCTGGTTCATGTTAAGCGACCATCTCCTTTCCTCTGATTTGTGATTTTTAAGCAGATTTGAGTCCCACCATGTATATGTTTGTATGTGTATGTGTGCACACGTGTGTGTGTGTGTGTAAGTGTGTGCAGTTTTCCTTTTCTCTTGGGATGAGACCGTGTTAGCACATCATCCTTTTTTTTGTTCACGAGAAAAACAGAAATAAAGGTGAACGACTAATAATGTTATGATTAGGATGTCACCTTAAAAAAAATTCCTAACACACAGCGACTGATGGCATTCTGTGTGGCCTGTACACTCCCCTTCTCTTTCTCACTCGTTTATTTTGCCTCCAGTCAGTTTAAAAATTAAGTTGGAACGAAGGTGCATCTCCCATTCGTTTGCCCGTTATCTTTCTCTACTGATTAACAAAAGCAATGGCATTTTATCACTTTGCAAGGCTTCTAAATTAATTTCCATTGCGCGCAGCCAAAGGTGTGCAAATTGCCCGTTCGTTTTATTTCTCGCAATTCTATTTGTTGTTGTGCTAAACAAAAAAATCCTGGCAGCTCGTGGTTTCACGTTTGAATATTTTATTTTCACATTGATTAAGACAAGTGAGAGTTTATCTTTTAATAATTGATAGCTCGATGCCGATCCAGTGCAAAATAGTTGTCAAGTGTAAGAAGGTGTAAGTCCTATTTTGTCTCAACTGGCAGGTTGATAGTGGACATCACCACAGGGCTATATCTTGCTAGCAGGGATTACAATTTACCTGAACTACCCCAAACTCCTGCAATACCGGAGACATTCAATAAGGCTGAAACGATCCGGCCTTTTGGAATAGAATCAAACCTCTTTGAGATTTTCTGCTTTCGTTAATTAAAATAAAAACAAAATTGACAGCTTTCTGGTAGAAAGCGCTGAGCAGATAAGCAGTGAAAGGAGAACAGCTATTAGCATTTACAGTAAAATATTAGTAAATGAATGCTTTTGTGTTCAGCCTCGCTAAGTGCAGAGAAATTGGATATTTAGGTTCCCTTCAAGTGTCTTTGACAAAAGCAGCGAGGGAGGCAAGAGCTCCCATCACAAAGCCCAATGCCCGACTTCTCGCTGTGTAATGTAAACTCACCAGCTGTTTAAAATGGGCATCAAAGCTGCCGTAACTGACCGAGTACCCAAGCGCTGAACAAATTGCTTGTCGCTGTACGACAAGTTGTAGGGAGCAGGGGAAAAAAAGGCATCGAGACAAAACCATTTGGGAAGGAATCCTGAAAAGCCAGCCTCTCTTCTGGTTGCAATTATCCACGTTTGTCTTTTCGCGTAACCGGCTTCCCGAAAGTGAACAACAAAGCTGTTAGTAGGGAATATCATGTAACATGGGCCTGGCTTGCGTAGTCAGTGTTCCCCAGGTTGAGTGTATTAAAGGGAACACATATCTTGAGCAACATTGTGCTTTCTGCTTGCTGCTGTTAAAAAGTTACAGTATTTTCCCCAGTGCCTTTACTGTACTGTTGAGCGTGTAATGTGGCACTAGGTCTGGTCCAGAGGAAACACAGAAGCCCACTCCTTCCAAAATAAAGCACTGTGCGTTATTAACCCTTCATGCTATGTTTGCCGAGACCAAGCTTGCTGAGGAAGGAAACAATTGGCGTTGCAATAATAATATATAATAATCCTTGCATTCGATATAGAACCTCCTCACGTCTGCGAGATGTCTCAAAACGCTTCACGGAATATACTGTAAAGTGTAGTGACTATTTTGTGGGTGAAACTCGGCAGCCAATTATGCGCCGCAGTGACCCACACACAGTCATGGATTGAGTGACCAAATTATTCTTTTATTTTTAAAGGGATTATTGTCCTCAGAAAAAGCTATTTAAATAGAGTTAAGGCTGTTTGCTCAGGAGAGAAAGAAAATCATCTGATTTATGTTATTTTTGTTCTCTCCTTTCTGTGTTCCCCCCCCCCCCCCCCACATCATCTCCCCCCCGCAGCCGATTCCGTGGAAGCCATTCTCTCAGACGAGGAAGAGGAACATGGCACCCTGGGAGCTCCTGAGGGGGACCACGACCTCCTTACCTGTGGCCAGTGTCAGATGAATTTCCCGCTGGGGGACATTCTAATCTTTATTGAGCACAAAAGGAAGCAGTGCAATGGTGGCCTCTGCCTGGACAAAGCTGTGGATAAGCCACCGTCACCTTCGCCCAGCGAGCTGAAAAAGGCATCCACGCCCGTCGAGGTCGGCGTCCAGGTCACGCCAGACGACGATGACAGCCTATCCACGTCATCCAAGGGAGTTTGCCCCATACAGGAAAGCACAGCAGCAGGTAAAGGAAATACCCACCAACCCCCACACACAGACACACGCATGCAGAGGCATATGCACGACATACGAGCATGCACGCACATACCCACGTAATTAAATAAGCGAAGGAACGAGAAAGAGAAATGAGAGTTTAGATGCACTATTTTCTTCCCCTGCTATTTTTAGGCAAGGGGTGCTTCTTTAATCACTGTACCACCACTGCTGCCACTGGTCCCAAGTCTATATCAGCTGTCAGCGTTTGCATTGTAATTAAACACAGCCCCATGGCAAAGTGACATGGGTGACCTTGACTTTAAGATGCCATTTATACTAGCCAGGCCAGAGTTAAGAGGGCAGTCGCTGAAGCACACAGACATGCTTATTCGAAAGTTTAAGGGCATGTTGGAAATTTCAAAGGTTGGTTTGACAGGAAAGGCCACTCGCTGCACCCAGGCTCCTCAGTGGAATGATAAATGCCTCTCGTTCTCTCTCTCTGTTTTGTGATGTGGGTCTGACAGATATATCTTGATTTTTCTTCCTGGTGTGGCCTGTTCTATTACATTTCACCTGCTTGGACCTTTAACACGTGCTCATCTCTCTTGTTTCTCTTTCTCACTCTTTCTCCTCCATTTGAGAAAGGGTATCAAATCAGTATTTATTTATTATATAATATCTATACACAAAGAGGGCTCAAAGAAAATCCTCTGCAGTCTTTTTCTCTCTGGTAAATCTATGAGGCATCTTGCTAATATTTATGAATTTGTGGTTTATTTATCGAATACATTTTTACAAATTTTTTTTACTCTGGTTGATAAAGGTATCTTCAGTTGCACTAATCACGGCTTCAACTCTGCTTTTAAATAAGCACATCTCACAATGTCTTCTGTGACTGGGTTCTTGAGAATAAAACTTTGTTTCCCACGGGTTTAGCAGTATATTGGATGTTTTTAACGCTGTGATTTTTTTCGATAGTTTAAAAATGTTTTTTTTCACAGATGGAAAATTTACACTAAGAATGTGCATTGTATTGTTTGGTTGTGAGAGTTGATTCAAAAAAAATCTTATTTTGCTTTTCAAACCAAGTCTTAAGACTGTTTACACATTAGCTCCTTATCTGTCAAAGCGCTATCTTTTCCCATCTTTGGTATAATAGTCCACTGTTTACATAGCTGTTCCCGTCTGAGAGGCAAAAACCTCCTAAACGAAAACTGCGTCAAGATTAAAAGGTACATTTCAGAACCGCTGTCGTTGAGTAAAGGTAATTATATAGCAAAATGTCCTGCACCTACCTCAAGCAGAAAAAAATGGCTTTTATTTTGAATGTGTTAATTGAAAATTGATGTTCTGATTTTTTGCATTTCCTGCGATTGGCTGGTTCCTTTTGACTGTTTGGATAAATTATGTTCCCATCTTTTGTGTGGTGGTTGGCGGGTTGCGATATCGTGCTGGTAAATGTGAAGCTGGAAATGTGTTGATGTGGGAAGTGCGACGCTTTTGAGAGGACGGAATAATGCGGTGGCCGTCTCATATGTACAATCTGAGATTTGAAGGAAAATTAACACAAATACAGGGCATGATTAATGAACCAGGAGCCTGGTGGAAAGGGGCTTCTAGCCTTTAGAGACTGCAAAGAGCCATGCTAAATTGCCAAATATGGAGTATCACTTGAGTGATGCAACCTCCTATTTACATATTGAGAAAAGCAGCTCAAAAAGCATAGCACACAAGTCAGTATCAAGCAAACGTGATCTAGACTGCTTACAATAGACCTTTTGAAGTCAAAAGTGTGTGGCAGATCTACAGGCACATTGGGATGTAAACTCACAAACTGGATAGCAACATGTGTTGGTGTACACACACGTCGATCGATTCACATGTAATATTTAGCTTCAAATGAGAGTGTGTCTGTGTTTGTGTGCATGTGGGAGAAAGATTGATTCATAGGCATTTTCAGGAGTAAAATGGAGGAAGATGTTTTGTTGGGCTGTTGTGAATAATAAATACGCGTACTGGATTATAAACCAGTGCTTTGCAAGTGACAGTTCCATAACATTGCAATTGTGTACATTGATGAAATGTGTTTCTGTGTGTTTGTGCATATATAGGTCTATGCAACACTTGTATATCACAGCCCAGCTTAAATGTCCTGCATCACTTGCAGTGATGGGAAAAGTTGTCCTCTAACCTGCTGTTGTTGTGTGGATACAGTGGTGTTGTGCTTTTATTTGGAGAATGGCGGGGGGGGTGATGGGTGGGGGGGGGGGGGGGAAATGCTAGCAATATGACCAAGGTGCCCTTGTTGTGGAATTGTGGATGAAATATCGTAAAGGAGGTTTGCGTTGGAGTTAAAACCCTCAGCCTTTCATTACCTTAAATAGATTGGCCATCCATTAAAAGTTTTATTTATTGCCCGTTTTGGGTGGTGCTCAGCTTTTTAAGTGTGTGCTGCATGTTTACTCCGAAATGACACAAGGAATATAAACATCGTGTTTTTTGTTACTTAAGCCTGTTTGACAACGGACTGTGCTTTGTTTTGGCCGAAACCGGGTTAGATTGAAAGCGTTATTGTATTTCCCCGTCTTTGTTTGAAAAAAAAATATCAACAAGGCCAATGTGTACTGACAGCCACGTTGATCGGTGGCTGTCCTGTGACAAGCGACTTGCTTAGGGTTTTTTTTTTGTTAGTGTTATTATTATTTTTGTGATCATTAGTTCCTTTGTGAAAGGGGCGCGAGGCTACAAATGTAACATGTAACGTGATCAGGAAAAGAGAAGCGTTATCTTAGCACAGTTAGACGGCGCGGTCTGAATCTTTACATGTGGACTGGCAGGGCTTTGTGGAATAAAGGCATTTAGTGCCTAGTCAGCCATTTCCTGGCATCCTGCCACCTTAGTCCCCAAAAGCTCAAAGCACTGGGTATCTTCAGCATTCAGCATCACACTGTGTACTGGATTCCTATTGAACAGTGATTTCGGCACTGCTGACCAAACCCTCTGGGCTTCTTCCCGTTTCTTGTGTGTGTTTTAGATCTCCGCCCCCACCCCCCCCCCCACCTTTTAATATTGATTTGGCACCAGTATTCTTCCCCCATTGAGCGTCCGAGACACCTTGGCACTGCATATGAGCGAGGTGCGGAGCGGGTGAGGTCAGCCCAGATCCCAGCAGGGTTTTACTGTTCTTCATTTGCCTTTACAATGCGAGCACAATTACCAAGCCTGAGTGTGGCCCTCAGGTGTGAGCTCAGATGGGATCATGTAAATGTCCTGTCAGATGCAATGCTGTTATATTAATGTTATTCATGAACGCACTGTAATATTGCGCTATGCTGGAAGTGGCAGCTCTGGGCATGACACCTTTTGGGATATGAGCACAGTTCTAATTTTGTTTTTTATATAATAATAATCTTTACATTTGAACAATGCATTATCACATCGTTGAGACGTCTCAAAGCGCTTCACAGGATATATTGTAAAGTGTAGTGACTGTGTCTTTTGTGGGAGAAACGCAGCAGCCAATTCCGCACAGCAGTAATTTTTTTCATATATATATTTTATATACAGTGTGTGTGTATATATATATACATATATAAAAGAGGAAATGAGAATGTTGCCTGCTTCAAAATTGTTGACTGATATTGTGACTCATAAGACTTGGGGAATCAATAGTGGATTTCATTTTGTTTTGATTTTGGAAACAAATTTTAATTGACAGCGAATGAAGTGGAGTCGTCAGCAATCCCGGCTGGTGATAGCGTGGTGAGGTGCTGTCCGTGTGTGAATCTGGCCAACTCCATTCTCTTTGCTGACAAAAATACTGAAACTCGATGCTAAACTTCAGAATCCTGATCATTAGTTTTTTTAAAAAAAATAAACGAAGAGAGGTACAGCTTTTCTCATGTGCTTTCCATCTCTATCTCTCTCTCTTTCTCTCTCTCTCTCTCCTTTCAACTGGGCAACTGCCTCACGTGTTGGCTGAAAAACATAATGCCAATTAGCTGGGGTTCACTCAGCGTGACGTTAACACATTACTCTGTACGGCTCTGAACACACATTTAACTGGGACATTGTGTCATTTTTATGATGGTTTAATGTAGTATCTGAATAGTCGATGAATCGTTTCAATAATGAAGAGGAATACTTGATGATTCGAATAAACATCCAGTGCGGCCCTGATAATATGCACACGGGGTGGGCAGCCTGTGTGTGTGTGTGTGTGTGTGTGTGGGAGTGGGCGGCCGGCCGGGGGGCGGTGGGGTGGGAGGGGGGGAGAAAGAGAAGAAGAGGGAGCAGGAGAAGCAGTTTTTTCCCCACCGCCCTTATAGCAGCTTGCGTTGAATCCGATCTTACTCTGAATTAACTGTTTCAGTTGCCACATGCTGTTTTTATTATTTTTATTGTCGAACTGATTTGTTTCTTGTTGTACATGTACTGGATTGTGCCGCGGCACGGCTATGCGGAGGTGGTGGGCCTTCTTCTTAAACAGAGCGGTATTTTGGGAAGAGGTGGTAGTGGGAGATTATTGGGGAGGCGGGAGAGAATTTGTCACTCTTTATGGTGGTTTTAGAATGTGAAGGGTTCTGAGCCTCTGGTTCACTTTAATAATAATAATAATCCTTGCATTCGATGCAGTGCCTTATCAGGTTGTTGGGACATCTCAAAGTGCTTCGTAGGATGTATTGTAAAGTGAATTGACTGTGGGCAAAAATTGAATTTGTGGGCAAAAACGCTTTAACTCTTTAACTCCATCCCAATACGCTCCAGTACATCCGCCTTGCCCTTGCCGTGAATCTCTGTGACATGCAGACGATTCAGAAGAATAGGTGCTGCTGGCGCCTTGCTATATCTAGCCAACCCTTCCCCCCACCCCCCGTCTGTGTCTTCTTACAGAAAATTCCAAGATGTCAAGATGTCCGAGCCATGTTGCATCTGTTTGATGGCTCTTTTCCCCCCCCGCCACCTCACTAACCCCCCCAACACACTTACGCACGGTACTGTGAGGGCCAAGTGCCGAGCTTCACAGCG